CGGGACAAAAATGAAAGTAGGTGTTTGTTTCTTTATTGCTACTCACTCAAAACGAATCTTATCTTGATGAAAATCATACAATTCGATAGAAAAATGTTTTGTCTATTCTGCAATTTAAAAATCAGCTCAAACGGACTTCAGGAAGCGGAGATATAGAGGTTTTACTGGAACTTTTCAAAAGTGGTGATGTAATTTGGATCTACCACTCTAATTATTTTTAACTAATATCATCTATATCAACATTTGTTTCTGAACTAATAACAAATCTAGTGAAGATAAATGACCGATAACTGAAAATAATGCAATTGCAATTTTATTTAAATATTTCGACTGATTAGTCACTGTGAAAATCAAATCGAAGAAGTTATCTGAAACGTGTGACATTTTCTATGATTCTATAGTTTGAAATAACGTAGTTGCACATAACTGTCTGATAGAATGCCTGGATATTCGCCATTATAATGAGCTTATATAGAAGAAACGAAAAAATTTCATTGTTTCTGTCGACCATTTCGTCGTCTATTTCGAAAAGATATAACTAGACAGGTTTATACATTCTTACATGTACAACGGATAAAGTAGTTGTAATATAGAATATTTAGTGCTAAGGGCACAGATTAGTTTGTACATACAACTACATAATTATACTGACATTTTCTGATAAAAAACTATCTTTTCATGAAAACTCATAAAAACAAGCGTTCACGTGTTGCTACATTTTATTCTCGACTAATATATTTTCATTTTAATTCTAGAATGCACAATCACGATTACGATCCATTACAGGAATTGCAACGAATGTGTGACAACATTGGTTCTTCAACTAAACCAATACAATCAAAAAAGGCAAAATGTTTTCAAGTTGAAACACATGTCAATACAACTTCTGAACAACCAATTGATCGAGATTTACAAGTACAAATGTTGGGTCAAAGAGAACTACGCGGGTATGCAATAAACGAAACTGATTAATGCATTCATTTTGATAGTAGAGAAATAAAATTGATATGAATTCCTCAGCTAACTATAAAGAATAAAAATACCTTACGCCTATTCTTTGTCATTGCACCTATCCGTTCAAAATGAAGTGTTTCATTGTTTGAGAATGGCTGTTTATTGTAGCGAATGCAATATTTTTTTCTTGTTCATATAAATTGACAATGTTATGCGGTACATATGAAATATAATTAGAGAAATAATAATTTCAACTACGAAATTCGTGGCTAGTAGTATTGTTCAAATTTACCACTAAGAATGTGTCGATGTGTATCTCCACCGTTAATTACAGTAGTAAGTTAATTAAAACATTACAGACGACGAGTAAACTAATATTTTTTGTTATTACAGTAACATTTATAGGTGGTTAATATAGTCCTTGCTTTCTCTCTAGTCATTTGTATTCAATATTTTCAAATGTCTGTGTAGATATGCAATAAATAAAAAAATTTTTATTTAGTATTATAGCATTGATCCAGATGCAGATGTAGATGAAGCCACCCTAGTCGAACATATTGTAAACAAGATCTTCAAATCTTGAGATCGCTAAGCAAGAGCATAGCAAGCTCTTGGAAAGATAATTTGCATGTACATATCTTGGTTGTATCAGATAAATCTGTAAGTAAAATCTTGGCAAGATCATTGAAAAAATATCGTGTACTATTATCTTCTGATAAGATCTTCAGCGAAACAGAAAGCGACATCATTAGTGTATTTACATGCTCATTATAGTCATTCATCGTTTTTTTAATGCATGCACAGCTGTATATAAACAGCATGATTGAACACAAGAAACAAATTTTCATATTTATTTTTTTTCTCAATTTTTTCTCGATTATTCGAGAGAATGCTGATCTCGATCGATGATCGAGAGAGGACTGTTTTAATTGGTCCGACGGATATCGGACCAGCCATAGCCAGTGAGATCCCAACATCTGACTTGCTGGAGTTATTCGCGAGAGGAATAATTAAAATGAAAATAAATTGAAAAAATATTAAACAATGCAACAGGTTTTACTTTAGTGTGAATCCAAGATTTAATGGATTCTTATGTAAGATCTGTAATTAGATCTTGGGTACAAGATAACTGTATTATCTTGTACCTAAATTTCCAAGATCTGTTAACATATCTGTATCATGTATCTTGACCAAGATCTTGCTTACAAGATGTTTCTCTAGGGACAATAATCAAATAAACGTGTAACAACAGCAATACACATCCACTGATGAAAGTAACCCAGGTCGAATATTACGGTGACCTGATACGATCGTAAACGGCCGTATACGGCAACGTTCACTACCGTTTTATAACGTTTCCGACCGTAAATCGCCGTAATTCGACGTTTTGGCATGCACCGTATTACGGCCGTATTTCGCCGTGTCGTAAACGGTTACTAACGGCCGTAATGTGGTCGGATANGGGTCACAGTGCGATCGCAGTTACGGCGTACTGCGCCGCAGTTTCATCGTAATGAAACACATGGGAATACACGATTCGCCATTGAATATTAATATGGTCTATTAAATACATCATATTGACATTATTTTTGTTCGATTCACTGATATATAAAAATCAAGATAGTTGATAGAAATAAATAAAATTTCAAGAATCATCTTTTTCTTTTTTTTTCTAATAAACACAACTAATTTATTTATCAGCAAGATACGCGAAGGGAGACACTAAGACGAAATGTTTTTCTTATTTCAATTAGATTAACTTTTTTTTAACAAAGAATTCAGAATATGATTTAATATATGATTTATTAAATCAGTTCACATGTTTTGGAATTCTTTTTTTTATTTAAAAATTTTAGCTAAGAGAAGTATTCTGAAATCTGAATTACTTTTGATGTGAATTGATTTTATTAAAAGCTATTCAAATAATTAATTTTTTCAATATGTTTGATTTAACGAAGTAACAGTTCGCTCATCTTATTTAAATTTTTGAAAGAAAAACGTTTGATTATATTTTCTAACTATGCAGAAATGATATACAGTAAAACCTCTCTAATGTGAACACTGTTGGGACCGAAGAAAAGCGTTCATTATAGCAAGGTGATCATATAGAAGGGGTCCATTTACAGCAAAAATCGATTTTTGGGACTTTTCCAAACCGTTCAGATTAACAGGTTGTTCATAAAGGAGGGGTGTTCACAAATAGAGGTTTTACTGTAATATGCTTTTTGTCTTTAAACTAATAAAAATAGATCAGATATGTAAAAATCTTCAAGAAACTTGATAATGAAATTCATGAAAGCGAAAATTTTACAATAAAATATCGAAGAAAAATTAGCTTTTCAATTGTTTCATGGATCTCTACTTGTTAATAATAATATAGAGAATTATCAAACCAAAACTTAATTGAATTTGTCTTTCTAATAAACAAATTGTTATAAAATTTGACAGTTATTTGGCATATTAACATGATGAATATTAAAAAAATGATTAGAATCTAAATGAATAATATAATCAATAAAAATATCACGCATTTGATGAACATTTATAATTTGTTCTCGAACAGATTGCTTATTTGGATAATTAACTAGTTCAGGACGTAATGAACCCATGAAAAAAACTTTTTTACCAAAAAAATCTTTTAAATTATTTTTCTGCACAAGATCAGATTGAAAAAAATCATTTATTTTATCTTCTCGTTGTTGCCAATTTGTTTCTTCTGAATGTGTTACAATTAAACAAATATATTCATGTAAAAATGGATAATTTTCTTTCACAAAAATCATTGAATAAATATCTTCAATATCTAAATTGGTTTGTAAATTAATAACAAATGCAAATAAATGTATATTAGTAACATCTTGTTCCATACATTTATCAATAGTTCGTTTTATTTTATCATTTTTAATTGTTTTATTTTGTTGTTTCACTTTATCAAACATACCAGGTGTATCAATTATATTAAAAGAATAAATATTATTTGAATTAATTAATGTTGTCGAAACAGAATGAATTGTTATTTGTTTTGTTTCAGAGTAAATTTTTCTGTCAGGTGGAATATAACAAGGATTTTCAATCACTTTTGCAATTGTCGTTTTTCCAGTTCGAGTCTTTCCCATTAAAAGGAGATTATGTGTTCTTGTATGACGAATTAAATATTTATTATTTTGATTACTCCATTGTTTAACTTCATTCATCATTTCATTAAAATCTGGTAAATTATCTCTTTCATACATCCAACTTTGTCTTTCTAAATAAAAACAAAATTACTTGAACGTTAATAATCGATAGAATTTTTCTAACATTCTTTCAAAAAATACCTGTTGGACAATTTATTTGACATGCATATGTTGATATGTATTTAGCCATTATGGACGTTAAATTTATTCTAATTAGAAAAGATCGACACTATTTAATTCAATAAGAAATTGATCTAACAAGAAAAAATTTCTACGAAAGAATGATTCGCAAAATTTCATTGAATTTTATTTGAAAATTGATCTATTGATCTTTATATTGATAACTGAATATTCAGCGGATTAAGTATTTTTAAGTTGCTTTTATCTTAAAAATCAATTTAATTAATATGTAAAACCCCAGACAAAAAAGTTCTCTTATCAATAACGATATAACCATGACTAAAAATGAAATTAATTACAAGATTGATATCAAATCTAGATCACAAGAATTACGTATGAAGACTAAGAAATCTTTAAATACTTAAGTAATAATGATTCTATCTTAGATGAATTTTTCAGTTATTAACTTTAAAAACCTGATTTTCAATTTTACAAATTTCAATATATTTCTTCTTGATTGGATTAATTTTCATTATAAAAATAACAATTCATATTTACAAATATAATATTCAATCAATTAAATTATTCTATAACTGATTACTAAAATTATGCAAATAAAAGAAAAAGCTTCGAAAATAATTATTTAGATATTACAATTGAGATAAAAACGATTTTCCTTTTTGTGAATTTAATACAATGATTTTGAATTTGAGTTGAGTATTTAATCTTTCGAGAGATACATCTTCTAAACAATTAATTCTTTCATTTAATCTTCTTGTTCTCTCTTCTATAGAAAGTTTTTCTCACACATCAATCATATAGTTGCTTAATTATCTCAAATCATCGCATTTAAAAAAAATACAAATATCTAAAGCAACCTGACTTAAACATAATGTTGTATCAATTGATTACTAACTATTTTAATCTCAATAATGACAAGTCTAATAAACATTTTCAACATTTATTTTCAAAAAATACTTTTCAGATAGAAAAAGAAATACTTATTAAAAATGAATACTAGAAAATTTCTAAACATCAAATAAATTATCATAAAAAGTATTTTTATTTGTATTCTAGATGTTCTATCGTTATTATTTCGATGGAAAAACTATTTAAATACCTTTTGCAACAATGTTACACCGGGGAAAAAAAGAAGAAATGATTATTTTTCTTATAATTGTTTATTTAAATACTTTGACGAGTGCAATGATAAAAACACAAACTATACACATATGAATGAAAAATAAAAATAAAAGTAAGGAAATGTTTATTAATGTTCATCAATAGTATCATCGTTCCAATTCATTAAACTATGTTGAGCACTTAAACCACCTTGTTCACCAAGTAGCCAATATGTTCTTTGTTTACCTTTTCCCTAAAAAATAGACAAGAAAAAGAAAGTTTTGTTCCTATTAAAATGAATAATATAATGTTAAAACCTTCATTTCAATATCACCACGTAATTTGAGCTCAAATGTACCAAATTTTTCAAGAATAGATTTTGTACTTGACGATAAATGAATACGTAAAGCTTCTCCGTTTGATTCCATTCGAGATGCTGTATTTACCTTTAATAATTATTGCATTTTTTTTAATTATTCTTAAATAATTACACTTACTGTATCGCCAAATAAACAATATCGAGGCATTTTAAGACCAACAACACCCGCAACACATGGGCCTGAATGTATACCAATACGTAATAATAATTTTTTATCGGGTCGATGTCGAATACGAAAATTCAAAACAGCATTAAGAAGAGCTAAAGAAAGTCGAGCTATTTCTCTCGCATGTAAATCTCCATTACGCATTGGAAGACCAGAAACAACCATCTATAAAATAAAAATTAACTTAATTGATTCATTTTAAAAAGAAAAGGAAAATATTTTACATAAGCATCTCCAATAGTTTCAACTTTATAGACATCATAATTTTCTGTAACAGCATCGAATACCGAATAGAGATCATTTAATAAATCGACAACTTCAAATGGTGTACTTTCCGATGACAATGATGTAAAACCAACAATATCAGAAAAATAAATAGTAACACTTTCAAATGATTCAGCTTTTACTGGTTGACCACCCATTAATTGAGATGCAACTGTTCTATTTAAATTTACAAAAGAAAATTGATTTCGTTTTTCTTGACAATGAATAACTGAATACTTACGCTGGTAACAATTGATAGAGTAAAGCTTCAGCTTTTTTCTTTTCAGTTAAATAATCACTTGTACGTTCTTCAACAAGACCCTATAAAAATTAATGTTAAACATTAAAATCGTTTTAGAATAAGAAAATAATTACTTCAAGATTGTTTGCATATTGTTCCATACGTTTTAATAAATTATCAAGAATATTTCCACTTTCACCATCTCTAAAAAGAATAAAAGAAACATAGAAAATAAATTTTTGAATAGAATATTATTTTCTACTTATTGATTCGACGCATTATTTGTCGAATATCGGTAAAATCTGGTCTTTCATTTGGATCTTCGAGCCAACAACGTTTCATTAATTGACCAATTTCAATATTGCATTCACCAACTTCAATTGTTGGACGAATTAAACTACCACATTTAACACTTTCGACGATTTCTATGAAAAATTCAGTTTAATTTTTACAGAGAGAAAAAAATGAATAGGAAAATTTTACCATCTGGTCTCAATTGTTGATCTCGTAAATAGAACGGCCCATTGCGTAATTGAATTTCTTGTAAAATAATTCCAAAACTATAGACATCACCTTTAATTGTACCTGCAGATGGTGGATTTGAATCTCTTAATAATTCAGGTGCTGTCCATAAACGATCTTTTATTTTTGTTTTAGTGAAAAAAATCAAACAATTTAATATTAATCAATAAATTTTAAAATATACTTTTATGATATAAAAGATCATCAGCAATGTCTGATGATGGTGAAGGTCGATTTCTATTTGATCGTAATGTTGGTAAACCAAAATCAGTTATTTTACAGATAAATCGGCTATCAACAACGCAATTTGAACTTTTTAAATTTCCATGTGATCCAATTTGACTATTATGTATATGTTGCATACCCTACGAATGAATATTTTATTAAATGAAATAGAAAACTCTGAGAGAAAACAAATCTTCTTTTTTCTCCCTGATTTATCAATAATTTACTTTAACAATATCATGCATGATAGAATGTTTAAACATGGTGTCAAGTTTAATTTCATCATTTTCAAGAATATCCTAATTAAAAAAATGTTTAAGTAAAATATTATTTTTAGTTTTTGAATTTCAAACCTGCAAACTTCCTTTAGGACAATATTCAGTAACAATATATTGATGTTTTGGATCAATACAAATGCCAATAAAACGAGCTATATGATCATGAGTTAAATCTTGCATCTAAATATATAAATTGAATTTATTTCGAATGTTTTATTATTATTATTTATGCTAAACCGCTTTGACTTCTAATTGTAATGCACGTGTTGTTTCTAATTTTGTTTTATAAAAACGTTTAAGTGCAACAAGAGATGACTTAGAAATAAAAATAAAAATAATTTATTTTTAACTAATTCAAATATTTTTATCTTACTTTATAAAATGCTGTTTTTGTAAAAGTTTGTCTTGTACGAACATCTGTGTCACTATCATCAGAATGATTACTTGAAAAAGAACTTCGCTAGAAAAGAAATATAAATATATGAAGATAAATATTATTACTAGCCATGAAAATAAATAACCTTTTGAGAAAGTGAAAGCTTATGAAATGATGGTGTGGCAACACTATTATGTAATAATGTTCTTCCAGATAATTCTTCCCATTTAATTAACCATTGCATCGATTTTAATTCGGCTTCAAATTTTGCTCGTCTGAATATTTTTTGTTTATTAATTAGAAAAAAATCTCTTTTTGTTTTCTTTTACCGATATAAAATAAATCCAAGAATAAGAAGAAGAACAATAATTGATAAAAGACCAATTATAATCCAACCCCATATTGGAATAAGAGCTAAAATATCATTGCAATAATATTTTTAATTAAAATAAAAAGAAATTCACAAACTATTTCTAGGGCATTTTAAATTATTAAAACCACAACGTGGACTATCAGGGATAAATGTTGAATTTCTATCAATAAAATAAATAAGACGAGATTTATTTAACCATTGTAATTGATTATTTTCAATTGAATATGGTTCTGCTGGATAAGCAAGAACAGCCTTTAAGAAGAAGAAAAAAAGGAATTATTCAATTTAATTACTATTTAATTTTAAATTTATTGTATCTAAAATAAATCCTATAGAAAAGTTACTTTTAATTCTTCTGTATCTGGATCCAAATCAAAAACAGTATAACCAATATCAATTCGATCACAAATTTGATTCATTGTTATATTTTTATTAATACCTTCAATTGATCGATTACAAATCATTGTTTTAAGTGTATCTGCATCTAATCGTCGATTTGTTTTTGTTTCATTATTGTTGATTAATTCTTCAGAATTCCTATGTAAATAATGACCTTTTAATGCTTTAAAATAAGTTACGACTGCATCATAAAAATTAGTTTCATCTGTTCCAATCTAAATTAAACAAGAAGAACTTTATTTTTATTTTTAAAAATTCAACGATAATAAGAAAAAAGAATTATTATTATCGTTATCATGCATAGAGGAAGAATATTTCTATGTGATTATATATCCTGAAAGAGAAATCAAATCAAACATCTCTCATACTCACTATGATCGATGATGTCTAATGAAAAGCAAATTTATTTATAAGCTAAATGCTTGTTTTTTCTTCGATATTAAATAAGAACAAAACAAATCTACGAAGAATTGTGAAGAAAAATAAACTAACATACTGTTTCATGTATTAATTGTTTTGTTCGATTTCTCTGACGTGCAAACTCAACAATATTATCAGCAAATTGGCGAAAACGTTCGCCTGTATAAAGACGTTGTCGAACAAAAAGTACAGTTTCAAATGCACGATGAGCATTTTCATTTATTTGATTATTTGTTTCATTTGGATCATGCCAAGGTTTTCTTACAGATAAACTTTTTTCATCGGTACTTTAAAAATAAAAATAAAAATAATTTAATAAAACAAAACAAAACAAAACAAAAATTGCTTCATCTACTTTTCTTGTGTTAAAACTGTATCAAGATAAATAAAAACGTATTCTCCATTTACAAAACCAAGTTTATGCGCTGTTAATATAGCCGATCGAAATGTTTGAGGATTAACACACCATAAAGATACTAAAACATAATAAAAATATAGTTTTTCTAAGTAAACACTTATGTTTTACCTGATGCATTATTACTAATAAAATCAATAAATATTGATTTAAAATTATCCTTTATATCATGATTTGTTATTTTTCTGTTATCTGAACGAATTTGATTTGATGCAAATGTATGTGCTATTGGTCTTAATAATACTTGACATTCATGCCAAGGTTTAGGGTTATCTTCATAGAGAAATTTAACAAACGACCATTTATAATATTGAAATAGTTTTACAAGTAATGTACCTAAAAATAATCGATTGAACTCTATTTCAATTTTAATCATTCACACAGATTTATTTTTTCATTAAAACATCTTTTTTTACTACAAGTAATTTCCTTTGAAAAATATTCGAATCTATCACAATGTATAGATAGATCGAGAGTTCTCAAATGAAAATAAACTATAAGGAATTCAAAAAACAAATGATCTTATTCTTTTCTTTTTCTTTTTTTAAATAATGATAAACTTATTTGATGAAATAATTACAAGATGAGGATAATAAACAGATAAGCTTAGCGGAAGCAACATTTAATTATATCTCAAAAGGCATCATTTTTTTTTATAAAATCGAACTATTATTTTTATATCAATTCAATTTATTACTAAAAACTATTCATTTAGTTTTTTTTCTCAGCTAATAATAATAATCTTGTTACTAATTATTTATTTTAATAATGACAATTATTGTTCGAATTTACGAAAATATGAAATTAAAAAATATTTCCGATTCGAATTGAATTTGATAAATACAGCATGATAAAGAAAATCTCTATGATTGAAATCCTTATTAGTTTAGTAGTAACATTAGACATACAGAATAGAATTAGTTAATTGATAAATCAAAAAGATTTCAAAATAAACAAATATTTATCGTGATTCTTAATTTATCGTCTATTAATATTATTGAAAATATAGAAATTCTATTTATAAATAATCTTGAATTATATTGAATAAATAAATATATTTTTATGTCTTTTTTTTCTTCAAATTTTACATAGAACGTAATTAACTTATCTTCTTTCCGATAAAATATTCATTGAGATAGGTATATTATGAGAATTTTCGTTTGGATCTTCGCCAAATAATATTATTATAACAGGGTTATCTTACCAAGTTCATCTGTTCTATATCCAAATCTAAATAATGTTGAATACATTGTTTGTCTTTGTAAAGTAAATTCATTGGATACAGCTCCCATTGTAATAACAGGAATGTTTTGAAAATGAAGAAGACGAGCAACAGGTGCTACTGCCAAATCTTAAAAATAAAAAATAAATAAATAATTGAAACAGGTTAAAAATTCTTTACCACAAAATGGTCCAAATACAACATCAGGAATAGTTGAAAGCATTGTTTTAACAAGTACATGAGGTGCTAACGATATTGAACAATTTGAATCTGTTACTTTGAAATTAATATGAAGCCAATTTGATATTTGATAATGATGAACAATATATTCATAGACAATTAACAATGATTTTAAATTTGGTATAAAATAATCAATATCGGGAAACATCATTAATATAGTTATATTTTCTTTTTTTATCATTGTTTCTAAAGATGTTTCAATAGTTTTTTCTTCCATACTTGATATTGAACAATTGAATGACGAAAAAAGAAGAAAAATAGTAAATAGAATAATTTTTGATTTCGTCATTAGTCAACATATGCGATCAATTATTCATTTTTGTTTTCTTTTATAACTATTTTATTAAAATAAAATACAGAAAAAAAGCATATTTACTATAATAACGTACTTGTCATGTATTTCCAATAAGTTTCATCAATCGTTTCTCATTATTTTACTTGTCTCTATATTCAGTCAAAATAGTGAAGAAAAATATAAAATCTATGTTAGTAAAAAATATAAAAATTAAATAAGAAAGAAACAAGTCAAGAGATATTAAACGGATTTTTTTCTCTCTTAAATTGAATAATTATCTTTCTTGACTAAGAACGATGATGATGATGATGATGATTAAATAAGGATGTTGAAATCATTTTTCTAAGTGACAATAACAAGAGACGAACTCAACAACGAGAAAAGTTTCTTTTTATTATTTTCTCTCTATTAGAATTATTCTAGTGGTTGTCGAATCGAGCTCGACAAGACACTCAAATATATACACGCAATAGTTACTCATTAAAAATAGAAACTGAATATTAATTCAGCTTGTTTTATCAATAGAAGAAATCAATATTAACATAGATTAGAATATTTATTTATCTCCTTATTTATTTTACATAATTGAAAATAAATATGATCATCATTTTATTTATTTATTTTTCTTCATTAATTGTAGTTCATATAAAATAATAGAATATCATTTAGATGTATTCTTCATAGTTTTAATAATCTCATCGTATTAAAATAATCTAAATGAATAGTCTACTGATGAACATCTATTCATTTATTTTACATTAGCACTGTAAAACTTCTAGAAAATGTTTATTATCTACAGATATATCTACTTTCGTACCTATAGAATGGTCTGAAGGGAAGAAGAAAAAAAGTAAGAAAACTACGACAGAGTTTATCTGATTGATTGTTCTAATAATAGAAGAATGTCTTGATTAGAAATGTAACAAATACTCAAGAACTACGAGTTCGATTTATATATGAAGAAAGAAGTTTTTGAAGGAGATTATTAATTGAAAGTCATTTGAGATTAGTTTCAATTATGCAAAAAGAAAAAAGCATCAAGACAAGCAGTGTCCTACGAGGGAAAAATATGTGAAGAAACAATAAATCAAAGAACATGCAAAATCATACAAGGATATCATTTAATTAACGATTCCATACTATTAGGGGAGTTTCTCTTATGACAACAATAATAATAATAACAACAGCTAACATTCGGAAAAAAGAAAGGTTTTTATTTATTAAAAAAGAATAGTTGTTTCCTTGTTCTTGTTTTTTTGCCGATCTACATTTCTATCTCCCTTTCTTCTTCTTCTTCTTCTTCTTCTTCTTCTTCTTCTTCAACAGCAGCATCGGCATCTTCATCTTCTTCTTTTCTTTTTCTTTTATCATTTGGTTCTCAACTTGAGAATAAAACAAGAAAATATCTTATCATACTTACTCAAATTTCTATCTATACTCAAAATAATCGGTTTAGTCTAATCATGCGAAAATACTCTATCGATTATATTTATAAGCGACGATGTAAATAAGAGAATAGAATAAATAACTATTAGATTTATTAACTATATGAATAGATAAAAATAAATTCAACACTATTTACTTGAATGACACGATAAGATTTCTTCCTATTATTTACATTAGTTCTAATACGAAACATTTAATATATCAAGTTTTACTTTCTTTTTTCCGTATGCACGATTTACTTGACACGGACTTACTTGACGCTGATTGTTTTTCGATTTTAATTGGTTTTTTCAGCGGAAATATTTTATTTTTGTTGCAGACGATTTACTTGACGTTGATTGAATAAAAATTGATTCCAATTAATCTACTTTTTCTATGAGGATTTCCTTTCCGTTGATGACTTAGACCTAAAGAAATGAGCAGATACATTGTCAATGTGCTGTAAGAACAAATTCTAAAAATATTTTTAATCAGAAGGAATATTTATCAATAAGCGAGCGGCTACCTGAATTTTCAGTTATAAACTAGCAGAGCTCATTGATTTAGTGACTAAAATGGTTGTCAACATAATATTCTTTTTAAGAAGTGTGTATAAAAGTACCGATAATCAACTCTGTTGCGTATTGTTTAAAAATGTTTGGTAAATTCGTCGAATTAACACACGGAAAAAACATGTATGCTTCCTAGGTTATTGTTATTTTGCGAAACGCAAAAATTAAAATGGTTCCGAGTATTGCATATGACTAAAATGTAATGCAACAGTAACAAGTTATGCAGATTTGTCAGTCGTAGTATCTGATGAACAATATTTGTTCCTTTTTTTTGTGCTTATCATGTATTTAGTGTCGTAATAATTGCTCATTTTTTTACGTCTAAGTAATCAACGGAAAGTAAATCCATATAGAAAAAATAGACTAATTGGAATCCATTTTTATTTAATCAACGTCAAGTAAATCATCTGCAACGAAAATAAAATATTTTCGCTAAAAAAAACAATTAAAATCGAAAAACAATCAACGTCAAGTAAGTCCGTGTCAAGTAAATCATGTAAACCCTTTTTTCTTGTCTTCTTTTTTCATGTAACAATGCCATTCCAATTAAGATTTTCTCAATAAAAACTCAATGAAAAAAAGGTTATTAAAAGAACATGAAGAAACAATTTTGCATCTAATAGTTTCATTATGGCATCAAATTAGAAATCTAGCCTCTAGTATGAGATTGTTCTAATACATTTATGTCAGTCGAATGCAGACAGAAGAATTGTAAATATTCAATTAATTATCTTCGTTTATAATGCTTCATAGAACAATCTTATCAATATGCACATAGATGAGCAAATTCTTTTCTTTTTTCTTTATTTCAATATAAAAACTATTTTAGATTTGAATGTTTATTTCTTTTCTTTTTCTATTAAAATAATTTCAATTAAACTAATTATAATATTCATCTTTATCTAATATAAATAGTTGTATCGTTTATTCTTTTCATTAGTTTTTATGACAAGACGAAAGAAATGATCAAAACAATAGGCCAAATAAAATAAAATTGAAATTATAGATAAATATAAAGACATGGTCGAATGCTCGCGGTCATCATCAAGAGAATAGAACAAGGTCATTCGACGAGAGATATACAGTTCAAACAAATAAAAAAGCAAAATAAGATGATCAACGAACAACAAGAAGAACAAGACGACGATATAAGTTTTTATGTCCAAAACAATGAATCGGCTATGTTAAAATCAGTTTCAGGTTCAAAATCATATGGAAATCATGCAGATGAACGAATTAAAATTAATCGAGAAACATCAATCGGTAATAAAGAAAGAGAGAGAGAGAGAAATCTTTGGATTTCAATAAAAGAATTTAAAAAAGAATTTTTCTTGAAATTTTTCTAAATAAAGATGAATATCATCATCAATCACGTGTACGTCGACCAAGTATTGTCATTCGAGAACATCAATTAGGAAATTATCCAATAAATTATGATCCATCACCTGAAATAATTCGAAAAAAACATGAAGATTATTATGAACCTATCGTATATAAACAACAAATTGCCGTTCGATATTTATGTCCACCAACTCCACCACCACCAGCTCCATTAATTATTCGAGAAATTCGACCAATTCAACCATTGCCATTGCCACCTAGTTCGATAGATGAATTCGTTATATTATATTGTATATTTTGTTATCTTTTTTTCCAGTTATTATTCGGCAACGACCACCACCACCAATTACTCCGCCACCAATAATCATTCGAGAACGACCACCAATTCCACCATCTTATACAACACCTCAGGTATAAATCATTTCTTTTGATAATAAGATATTTTATAATTTTATTGATAAAAGATTATTTATAAACGTATTTCACCAATTCAACAATTAGAACGTCGTGTTATTATTGAACGTCTACCTCCAATGCCTGCTAAACCTCCTGATATTATTGTTGAACGTTGGCTTCCATATAGGAAACAAAAACGAAAGGTTATTTATGAAAGAGCATTATCAAATAATGATCATTTAACATCATCTAATAATAAACAAACAAAGAATAATTTCATCATGCAATATGTAAATCCATCAGTTGAAATAGAGAAACAAATACAATCATTAAATATAACAGATTCGAATCAGCTTGAACAAGATAATATTTCAAACAAATCTTCTTCGAAAAATATCGGTAAACAGATTTAAATAATCTTTATTTTTCATTATTGAAATATTTTTCTAGAATCTATCTATCATAATTATGCATCATTGCAAAATTGAACATCGATTCAATTGCATTCTTTATGATTTTGTCTTTTAATTAATTAAATAAATTCAAAATAAAAACAGAAAAATAGCAAGTCTAATTAAAGACTTGAAAAAATAAAGAATCTTTTTCTTAATAAACTAATAAAATATAGATGATAGAATTTCAGAAGAAACTGCTGTACTCTGCTATTACATAGGAATGCTCATATTGAATCCATCACACACATATATAAAATACAATAACTTAAATTGACGAATATATTTAAAATTAAGTTTCAAGTAAATTTCAATAAACATCAATAAAAGAATCATGTCATATAGTGCTTTTCTGTATTTGAATACAACTATTGAGAGAATCAAAATTAGTTCGAAAATAATCGGAAATTTTATTTCAACTGGACTGACACAGACACTTGGATTTCTTCACTCAACTAATAAAAAAAATCGATCATACAAATTGACTAATTCATTTATAGAATTCTGTTGAGACAACGCCGATCTATTTCAAAGAACGCATGATTGATAATCAATGGTAATATTTTACAGCTCATAGCTAACGCTCTAAATACGTTTCATTAAACAATAGAATGAGTCACAAGATACAATGTGAAAAGGACTCATGTTAACTGTTTACTTTTTTATTTTCAAATGAACTAAAATTTTGTGCAACCAGTTTTGTTCACTGAAAAAAGAATTTTTTTTTCTACACATACTATCAAATCCTTTTTGCTTATTTCATCCAGATATTTTTTAAATAACTTGTTTACTGTTATTTTTCCAAAAGCAAAGTGTTCTGCCACCAAACGAAAAATAAAAAAAAACTAGATAAAGAAACGAAAATATTCATCTCGAAGAGACCGATCAATCAATAATAATATTGAGAAAGAAACCATTGAAACTTCACTTTAATATAAATCTATTGAATAAATACATTGTAATCTGAATTTATTTTGTTTGATTTTTATAGTAGCTTATAATTTCTTTAAATTAGAAATGAAACAAATCTTGTGAATTTAATATTCATATAATCAAAATGATTTCACAGATAAAATACTTATAATACGATCAATATGATCTAGTAGGAGTCATCTAATTTGTGTTCGAATCATAGTTCAGAGATAATTAATAAAGGATCGCCATATAATTGGTATTGTTACTGTGAACTTCTGGAATGTTAGCCATTCATGAACTTCTCTGTATACAAAGTAATCCTAATTATTGGTGTCCTGTCGGCATCAACATTGAGAAGAGTGCGGGCGTAGGTGAGTTTGAAAATATGCTATTGATACATCCACATCCCACATCCGACAATAGAATTTTACCAAAAACCGCCTAGAATTCGAAATTTTCAACCGTTACGCCGCACATTTAAAGAAATAGGTGTTTGCACGCTATTAAAATAACTATTTCGAACGTTAATGAAGTCAGATATAATGGTAGCAAAAGATTTGCCCATTTTCAAGTTATTTAAAACAAAGCTCCCAGCGTTTACACGACCGCTTTCATAAATACTCCTTTAAATGCTCAAAAATCAGTATTTTTGAGCGTTTAAACGCGTTATCTTAAATTATTGTCTGCTTGGGTGGCATCAAACAGTAATCATCCGTTATTTTCTTCTCAGCAACAGAATCGTTACATAGCTTAAAATACCTCAAATAAGCGACCATTTGGTCGTATTCGTCGATTTTTCCGTTGGTTCAAATGGGTATCTAAATCTTTAGACGCCACAACACCAAAAATTTCATATTCGATACTACCCCCTCTAATAACACTTGCAGCAATGCAATGATTAAAACGCTTTCTTTCTCTTTGTCCATTGATAGAAAGGTTTTCGTCTTCATTCGCATATTATTGAAGATGAAAATTTAGCTCGATTAATTTCTAAAATAGCTGCAATAACAACCTATGCATTTATTGGTGTCACTACACTTAGGACACTGGGTGTTGATACTATATCATTATTAGCTGGTATTGGTATAACAGGTTTTATAATTGGTTTTGCTCTTAAAAAGTAGCAACGTATTTTATATCGGGTATTTTTCTTGTTATTCATAAACCAATATTTATTCGAGTGTCGGATTAAAATTCCTGGAGGTGATGGTGATGGTGGAATTTAAGGTTAATTTTATTTTGACTCTAAATCATATTGAATATCACCTTTAAAACAGATCTCGTTCATTATATTGACATCAATATGTATATCTAAAAACCAAAGATGGCAAGCTATTAATTAATTTTTTTTCCTTAACAAGTGAATATCAAGATTTTTTTTTCATACTCGAGGTGGTATGGTAATGATTCCATCAGGAATTTTTTTATACAAACCCATTGACTGTTTTTCTAGCTAATGATGAAGCAAATGCAGGCTTTGTCGATATGATTGAACCATCCACAAGTGATGCAACAAAACCACCTGAATCATTATCTACATTCAAGATGAGGTTTGATGCAGAACTAGAAGGATCATTTAAAAAAGCACCATTCAAGGAAAAACTATGGAATACGTAAATTGTTTTTCTTATCTGTCATGTTTTCTTTTCATATCGTATATGCTTTTTGTCTACACATCACTAGTCTTTCAGTAACCATAAAAATATTTAGATTATTCATTGTCTTCTCAAACGTAATTAAATATAATTCAAATTTAAGACAAAAACAAAAAAAATATTCATAGATATCAGAGACGTGCACAGGGCATAATTTTCTCTCCTGTTCTGTTGACTATCTTGGTCCTGGCGGGCGGCAGGACAAGACAGCAGGACCGCCCTGCCCTGTGCACGTCTCTGGTTAGTATATTTCATAGTTATATGTTGGCAATTGACAATGATCTTTTCAAATTTATTTAAAGGTCTGTAGTTGCAGTTTTGATCCCAGAGATTCTGTACTGCTAATAAGTTGTTAATTGTCTGATTTAACTATCAAGAATAAAATAATATCCAATACCTGCTGTGTCATCTATATTTGATGATAAATCCAAGATTTTATGTATATTAATGATTTATGTGGATAAACATTCGAAATTTCCATTAAGAATATACAGACAGTCATCAGAAGTGTTGATATTAACTTTCATTTTGGTTAGAGTTAAAGATACGGGATGCATCGGTGTCAAATTAAATGTTGAGTCGGTTACATTTCTGCCAACAAATTGACAAATGGTCAAATCCGTTAGATGTTTATACAAAAATTATATCAATGTAAATAAGTTCGGTTCATTTCCATTCGATAATTTCATTATTATACTACCTTTGATTTCGACTTTACGATGAGTTATTTGATCACTAAGCATACGGCAAAATATTATATCACCTTAAAAATACACAAAAAACAATGATTATCATTTGATATTTGATAATGTACTTGTTAAATATTGTAGAAGTGTTTCTTGTGGAAAGTAGACAAGTGATAGCGAGTGAAGTTGAGGATAATCAATTTTATTAAAAATAAATTCCATGAAAGGTGACGTAACCGTGATTTTATTCACTTTATAATGAATTCGAGGTAAAAATTTTGTGCGAATTTGATTAAAAACTTGATTATCTACCGGAGAATTATGATCAAGCGACGCTTTGACTCTTAAATCCAAATGATGCATATAGAGAGGATTGAGTACTAATTGATTAAAGCGTTTATTTAGATTCACAAGTGAATAGAATACATCAACCATATCCAATTTGCTGAGAATAATAAGTAACATTTCATCAGGTAAATCGAGTATATTAATATCATTGTTATTTGAAGTTTTCCTGTCTCACAATCATTATCTATCTGCTTCGATCAATTCCTCTCCGTTTTTGTCTATAGATATCTTCTCATTGCCATCTATGAGAATAATATTAATATAATTAGTTACGTCAAACAATCAACAAACGGTTGGCACCTTTTGTTTTCTTTATCTGTCCAAAATGTTTTCTTCTCATTTATAACAAATAGAAATCGTGTGGTCACTACTCGACTGTTTTCATGTTTATCATATATCTATCTATCAGAGACGTGTACAGGGCAGGACGGTCCTGCTGCCCTATCCTGAAGGACAGGAAGAGCTTTTGATTTTTGTCCTGTCCTGCCGCCCGCCAGGACCAAGGTAGTCAACAGGACAGGAGAGAAAATGATGCCGTGTGCACGTCTCTGATACTAACCGATTATCTATTTTCTTTATAGAACAAATTGCCTAAATTAAAATGTTTCTCATTGATCTCGCATTTTCAAACATATGCTTATGACAAACGCATTGTTCTACTACTTCGTTGAATGTTAAATCTCGAAGAATTAGCATTACTTATCTCAGTGACAAGAATTAAATTACCTTATATCGATGGTACTCGTTTAGACAATGATTTTCTTGTTCAAATATCACGACTAAACAAATTTACATTCAGTATAAACACTCTTGTTGACGATAAAGATGTTGAAATTGATCTCCCATCGAATGATGATATTCAAAATAGTTTTATCCAAATAGGATACCAACATCTGGATTCATATGCAAATCTTATGACAATTGGAGCCAGATGCCATGCATGTTCACTTCCATATCAATTCGATCCTTTTTTTTATATCTAACCAATTCGTTTCGACGTAGTAATTTCTATGAAGTTCGATGACTGGTTATGAATGATGCTCATTCATTTAAACATGAACTTTTTAAATAATCTCTCAAGATTTTTCTTTTCTGTGATGATTCACTGTATATAATTTTGAACCACAAAAGAACAAGCAACATTCATCTACATTGATTACGTTTGATAAAATTTCCGAGCTGAATCTTGCGTTCACACATTGATTATGTTGAAGAATTTCTCTTTGAAACAAACATTCGTTTACCTCGATTAAAAATTCTCTGTATTAAATATGAATCATTAGGAATGGTAACAAATAATTTTACGAATGATGCAGTACGTTTCAACTGTAGTCGATTGGTATACATTCTGATTCCTGAACCATTTGTTCGTCCAGAGATTTTTCATTCATATTTACCTTTATTGTAGGTATGGGTTTTCTTGAAAAATTTGTTCTATTTAAATAAATACTTAGAAAAGCTACATATATGGTGATTATGAATATTCACAATTCACTCTGATAATCAATGATTGTTAATTTTTTTGTATGATTGCTAAAGATGGATGGGACTAGCTTCGATGCGGCCTATGAAATGGAGCAAGGACTAAATTTGAAAATTTAGAAAGTTTGAGCAAACGCGTACCGGGAAATTACTTTTATGGAACGATCCTTGTGAAAAAAGATATTTTTGGTTTGTGAAAACTAATTAATTCGCACATCACTCACAAATATTTCTATCTTGTCGGAGGAAAATCGATATCATCAATACTCGCTCTAAATGTGCTTGAGGGTTTGGATGACGGTGTTCTCCTCATCCACAGTGACAACCACACCAACAACCATACCTACATCCGCGGGTGACGTTGCTGTCATGCAATATAGCATCTATGTAACGTCGGGCTTTGGTTACTTCCAATTGAATCTGAATGGTAATCGCACTACACCAATTATCATTCAAGAAGCACCCAATCAACCACGTCCAATCATCCAATGTCTTCAAACGGGTACAAGTGCTCAACATATCATGAATATTCAAGGTTCAAATTTCATGATAAAAGGAATAGTATTTACCAAGGGTTCGCGAGGAATTCGTATCGGACCATCAAGTAAATAACACAACGTTCATTTCTATTATTCACTATCTCATTTTTATTTTCAAAACTCAACATTTAGCTACAAAAAATGCAATCTTTGACAATATTTACATTTACAATACTACTGGAACATCATTTTCAGCCGATGATGTTGCCAATGAATACGTCCATATAACATTACGAAATAGTTAAATGACCAATACAAATGCTTTGGGTTAGTATTAATTATGAATTATCTCTTTTCTACTTTCTTGTTATTAATAAATTCACCAATGTAGCTGCTACAACAGGTGAATGTGTTTATTTTGGATGTGTCAATGATCTATGTCGAATTCGTGATTCTATCATTGAACATAACTATTGTCATGATACATTTGGTTCATCCGGAGGATCACGGGCTGGTTTCCAAGTGAAAGTAAACCTCGATTCAAGTTATTTTATTTAATAAATTTATGTTTCTTCAGTCCGGCTCATACAATGTTGTTGGACCTTGTATTATTGTTTATGATGATTATGATTGTGGACGGAATTTGATTGATGGAAATTTAAACGATCAATACTGGAACAGTTGCTCTTGGAATACAATGTACATGGAGAACGACTAACACAAATAATGTTGTGATTAATGCCAGTATGTAAACAATTTTTCACTTGAAAAACATCGATCGTACTCTTTTAAAAAGATATGTAAATTCATGTAAGAAAATCAGCAAAGGATTATTTTCAGTTGAATATTTTCGACAATATGTTGTAACACATAGAACAATTTGAACAAAAACCGAAATACTGACAAACATCAGATTGTTTTTCGTAAACCTTTTCTTCTGAAGATTATTTTTTTGTAATAGAAATCAAATGCAACAAACTAAAAACATTTTCTGATTTAATCGATTTTTCGATCATTAGACCTTGCTGGAATTGGCGTCATACAGAATTCAATTAATCCTACTATAAAATATACTCGAAATATAACTATTAGTGGTAATACTGTTTACATGTCTCGATCGGATGCATGTCTTCGATTGAATGGCGTTGCAAATAAGAATATTACAATTTCCAACAATGTTCTATATTGTGGACATCAACTATCAACCAAAGCTACAAATGATTTAACAGGTAGATCTATGCAGAAAACTAGAATGGCATTTGGAAGTATAGAATCTTCTTATTGTTTTAGGTGCCTCTATGTATAATAACGCTGTCAATGGAACTATTAGTGCTACAGGTATTCAACCAGATGGAATATTGGCAATGTTCAGAAATGTCTTCGTAAACACTTCAGCCAACAATCTTTACCCAACAGTAGGATCTCCGTTTATTAATAAAGGCACGAATCGACTATATCAAGTTCTTTATGATTACAATGACATTGGTCGATCTATGTCAACGCCAACTACTGGTGCATATGTAAGGAAGACTGAAACTTATTAATTCAATGAATCTTTAGTACTTCAATATATTTCTCTAATCTTTAGAAATATTCTACTACAAACAATTCTGGTGGTATGACAACAATCGACTTTAAATGTGGTTCATCTACTGCTGCAGTACCACAATATCCTTTAATCCGTTGAACGCTGTCTGATTGAGTATAATTGCTAATATGAGTAGCTATGAGTATCTTTATCTGGTTTTCACCAACTTGAAATTTTCTCCTCGATTCAATATGTTATTTTGATCAGGAAAGTTAATAAAAACGCAATAAATAAAAATAAGAAAATTTATTAAATATCCCAGGTCGATCAACCTGAGCCGTAAACGGCCGTATACCTATCATTCACGGTGAAAAACGGCGACCGTATTTTGTAGTCGTTTACTGTTGCCGTAAACGAAGTTATACGATGAAATACGATCGTCGTAAACGAGGACCGTGAAAAATCTCCGTAAACGGTCATCGT